AAGATTAAAAAAAACCTGTTTTCATCCTGCTCAAGTCAAATCAATATTACATTATCTCAGTACAATAGACTTATATGTTGCGTAATAAAATCTCTTACCTCTTAATATGATATTCTACAAGATTTTCATCGGCTGAATGTACATAGTTATAGACAAAACAAACTGAACTGTGAAAACTGACAAACATATTCAAATGAATTAAAATTCAATTTCCCTAGTATGTATTATAATTAAATTATAAAGGCATGATTTACTTTGAATTAGCTTCAATAAGTTTGGTTTTACTACTTAAAGAAAACTTTCTTGCAGAGAATATCAGATCTATAGCCTAGAAACTATAAAAGAAGGCAGTGGCAAATCACTCATACTGCCAATAAAACATGGACGTGTCCATCAAGTAATCAGAATAAATACTGCAGTACAATTTAGCGGGACTCCTTTTTCCCCCTAATTAAACTCAGTGACTACAGCGATCAAAAGATTTAGTGAAAAAGTGCTAAATGCAGATATTGGTTCATTGAACAGAAGGCAGAAATACAACGAGAAGAGAAGGCTGGATACTGGCTAGTCCCACGTACGTTAAAGCACAAAAAAACCTATATATTGTTGATATGCACATAAATGCACATGAATGACTCACATATAGAATTAAGAGAAAAATGAATCAGAGTGAAAAAAAATTCTCCTGTTAAAATAGCCCAGGGTTAGCAAATTATTCAGAGCCGTGGTGACACAGTGGTTAGAATGCAGTATTGCAGGCTAATTCAACTCACTCAATTCTGAGGGGCTCAAGATTAACTCAGCCTTCCATCCTTCTGAGGTTGGTAAAACGAAGACTCAGATTTTGTGGGGCAATATGCTGAGTCTGTAGAGAGAACTGTAAAGCACTATGAAGCGTTATATAAGTCTAAGTGCTAAGTGCTATTCAGCTTGCAAAAATAAAACAAGTGCCACATATCAGCCAAAATTTTTCTCTTCAACCAAGTCTCTTTCTCTGCTTTTTCTTAAGATTTTATAATATTTTGCATTTTTGCCAATTCTTTTTTTATTCATAGCTATTACACAGCAAGCCCTTTTTATGTAGTGATTAAAGGCTTGTGAGTTCTGATACTGCCTACGCATAAAGCTAGCTGGTTTACTTTGGGCTAGTCATTCCCACTCTGCCGTAGGAAAAAGACAATGGCAAATCATTTCCAAAACTGTTGTCAAGAAAATTGCAGAGATTTGTCCATGTAGTGTTCAGGAGTCAAAGGCATAAAACTAGCATCCCTGATTCCAGTTTAATAATAAATGGTCAGTATTGTATTCACTCATTGTAAGTAGCATGCTGACTGTGATTTGGAATTGCTACTTTGAGTTGGGTAAATATATTTGAAAACAGTAAAAAAAAAGGTGGCTTATGGTACTGGACGGTTTGTTCAAAATTAGTGCAACTTAGCTAACTGTAAAATGTTAAAAACATTCGTATTGAATTAGCATTAAAAAAAATCAACCCAGACATTTTTTCATATTTAAAAGGTGTATAAGCTTTTTAACATAATATTATATTTAGTCATGGTAGATGAATTGTTACAAATAAAACAATGTTGTATAGCACGGGTGTCAAACTCGATCGCATCACATGACATATCATGATGTTTTGCAACATTTTTGGCCTTTGCAGAGCCAGGGTGGATGTGGCCTGCACATGACGCATCCGGCCCGCAAGCCGCCAGTTTGACACTCCTGATGTATAGAAATAGGAATGGGACCTGGCATTGTTAATAGAGGCATGTTTTGTTTTTGTTGTTTTACTTACTACACGGAGAATAAACTGTGCTAAATCATGGCCCAAACCATTGCCATTAGAATAGAAAGCAGTAGGTTGCATATGGTAAAATTTGTGAATATTTGTAAGGGTTTCACCCAGTGAAGGAGACCTAACGAGAAAAAAAAATGAAAGCAGATGGTGGGTCACAAGAAGGAGGAAACATAAAGGATTATTTTGGAAAGGTTACTGGAGAGTTTGAAGGGAAGTTGTGAAGGGAAATAAGGCTTTATGGGTAAAGCTGTTGAGCGAGAAGAAACAAGTATATTGATTTAATTCTTGAGAGTGGAGAAATGATGACGGGGAAGGAACGGAATCTGTGTAGTGTTTGGCTCCCAGCCATATGGAAATTGTGGTAAGAGGCTCTTAGGCTTAGGAGCTTTAGCCAATCCTGTTATAGGTTTTAACTAGCAAAAGATTTGTTGTTCTTAGCTTCCAGAGGCTAGTTCACTGGCATATATCTTCAGTGAATACCTCTAAGACTATTATCATAATGGAATGGAAATATTTCATACTGAATGTGAATTATTTCTTTGGTGGCACACAACATGAGCAAAAGAGGAAAGCTTGAAGCTACAAAACATTGATAGGGCTAGAGCAGTGTTTTTCAACTTGACAAGTTTAAGATGTGTAGATTTCAACTCCCAGAATTCCAGGGAATTATAATATATATAAATAATGTAATCTAACAGTATTTGCAGGGGCAACCACAAGGTATAGTCAAAATAGAAGATGGTGCCCATGATGATATGATCAAAGTTCCACCTGTTTTGTATAGGCACTGCATGTGTGACACACATTTATTTATTTGCACTCTTGTTAGTTACCTAGATATAAAATACAACAGATATAAAAAAACTTAAAACCTAAACCAAAAGTAAGATATCAAGCCTGCAAAGCCTCAGAAAAAAATCCATCTTCAGGTTTTTTTTGGAAGGCAGAGAAGTTTGGATACAAACAAATATTGGAAAAGGAAATTATTCCAAAGGACTAATGGCACTTTTAGACTTTGGCTTTATTTACCTCCCCAAAATGGGAACAACGGATCTTCTCCTAGCAATGATGGCATAGTAAGGATGGCTGTCCTACAGGTAATCAGATCCCAAACCATAAAGTATTTGATAGATTAATGGTAGTATTTAAATTACACTTGGAGGCTAGTAGGAAGCCAATGCAAAATCCACAGAAGAGGTATAAAAACAGGCAGAGCTTCAATGACGTCATCATTGCTACCATCTTTCTTTTTCTTTTTTTAACCATATCTTACAGATATCCATGAGCATTATAAACTGGTTTCAGAATGTAACACAGATGCACAAATTTATGGATAAATAGATTGAAAACAATAAAAGTTATCAATATTATTTAATGTTGCAGTCATTAAGCAATCACCAAAGCTAAGCAAATGTGGCGATCAATGAGCATTAAAATGCAAGAAAATGGCATTAAATGATGAAACATGTGGTGATGATGGGATACTGCAAATGTCCATAAATTTGAACCAGTTGCTAAGCACCCAATATATGATCATGTACCATGGGGTGGAAATGGCAGTCAGAACTCCAGAACCACATTGTAAGTAGCTCTGAGAAGGTCAATCATAACTTTGCTAAATGGACGGTCACTAAACCAGGTTATCTGTATCATTAAATTCTTCATAATAATCAGTTGGGTTTCTACTTATTCCATCTTAGATCCAGACAAAATCACCATGAAAAGTAAATGATAAATACTATAATCCAATTGAATCCAAAGCAAATTAAGTCAACTAGAAAAACCTGATGTAACTGTGTATGTTTGATATCACCTAAATACAAAAATTTTAATATATTCATTGTGATTTTTAAGGAGGGCCTATTCTGAAGCAAGATTTGAGTTGTTGTACTCCATGTTCTTCCACCACTTGGCATATCATGGAGAGGAATGCATATGCAGTACCCCAGCCATCGAAAATATTGCTCACGTTTTGTTCAACTGTCAATTATGTGCCCCTCCCCCTTAGTAAGGCATAGATACTTATCCCTATTGGAAAAAACACCAATTGGAATTTGAATCACGGATTTTCTTATTTCCTCCTGGACTTTAATGTATCTATTCTAAGCGGAACTGCTAAGTTTATATTAAACCAACTGGGGAAAAAACCCGATACATCAAACAAATAAGGGTACCCCATAAGAGAGGTGCATTGGTCTGATAGCTGACTACTTGCATTACCACATATGTATTTTATCACTGAATTATTTCCTTTTATTTGTTTTATCTGGAATCAGATTATGTATTTAATTTTTTTTCTTTTATTAATGAGTTTGTAAGAATAATCAATTAAAAACTATTTTAATCTACACTGTGAAAATTCTCTTTAAAAAATTAAGAAATTCTTGTTTTTTATTTTTTCTGTATTCCTTTGTTTAATTCTAAAAGATAAGATATTATTTGTTTTATTTCAATTTAACTTTCCTTCTTGTTAGCTTTTTATTTAGAGTGTGTTTTATCTCCTAGAACTGCTTGTGAAAGCTAAATCATTTGTTTGTTCTTGTGTTTGTCCTGAAAAATGTTTCTTCATATTTATAATCATGTCTCACAACTTATGACATCATATTAAAATACATCATCTGGAAATATGTTGTTTATTCCAATATCTTGCATTATTAATTGAATTATGGTTAGATGGATTAGTCTAATTTTGTTTGTAATGTCTTTTACCCCGTGTTCATTCATAACTCCATTTTGTCATATTTGTCATAAATGTATAATTTTTAATTTAAAAACAAAATAATATTTATTTCCATGATTATGCTTTTTGTATTTTATATCAAAATATCATTTTAATGTATTTCTTCTTAGTTCTCTATGAATACATCACAAAATTCAGAAAAGTATGTAATCCAGAATGTGAAAATCAAATTTTGTTAAAGTTATCTAAATACATATTTTTAAGTATATGTAACTGGAATATTGTGAGAGCAATACTTTTCTTACAGAGCTGAACAATAGATTGTTTCCTGATTAATAAGATATAACCACTAGAGAATACTTTTTACTTCCTGTCTTATAGGTCTCTCTTCCTATAATCTCTTGAGGGACTTCTACTAATACAAACTTGTGTTGTTAGAAAGATTTAACCATTTATAGTTGGAAAGATTTGTTCAACCCTTTTCTTATTTTTATATATGTATTACTATCTTCCTCTCAGTTGGTCCTCACATTGGGCGATATTGTGGACAAAACACACCTGGTCGTGTACTGTCATCAACTGGCATTCTCTCCATGGTTTTCTATACCGACAGTGCAATAGCAAAAGAAGGCTTCTCTGCAAACTACACTGTGGTCCACAACAATGTTCCAGAAGGTCCGTGTTTAATCATCCTTCAGAGTGGTGCATAAAATATTCTGTCATATCTTCTCTCCTACTGAGTGCTGTATGAAACACATAGATAAACAAGACCTATGTCCTTTTGTATGCACATGTTTTTAGAACAACCTCTCTGATTTTAAGTGTCAAGAGACATATCCGCTCCTATTTGTTCCTGTAAAAAGTCATTAAGTTATAGAATTCCCATGCCCTTGTTGAAACTGAGAACATTAAATTTAAACAATGTAATCCAGCCTAGATATAAATTGTCCAAGACTTCATAAATTATAATTATTGATGTATAGGGTCTATTCTTCAAGTACATTGTAACCTGTATTTGGCATCTCATTGCTGCAAAACACTGAGGAGGAATATCATTGAGATTGGCTTGCAAGATTAGCTCATTTATTTTTTCATTGATAGATTATGAATATGAATATAGAAATATGAGGATATATTAGGCATTAAGTTAGAGGCTTGAGCATTCTAATGAGAGCAATGTGCGCCACCGCTTAATTAATTTTTAACCATTAACTAAATCTAGACTGCTCATGATCCATTGGGTCATCATTTCAGAGATATTTCCTACCTAAACAGAGAAACAGAATGACCACGAATGGGCAACCCCCCCCCAAAAAAAAACAATGGGAGTGGGAGTAACTTCCAACTTCCTGTTAACTTTCTTTGACTTTCCTTTGTAGAAAGCTAGCAGGGAGTGTTGGAAGTACCAGTCACGGGACTGCAGATAATCGTGACAGTGCAGCAGCACTGAATAGTCACAACTTTGCTAAATTTCAATTCTAGGGGAATCATAGGTCCCATATTTTATATATATTCTGTAAGTTGGACGTACGTTGATCCAACAACTGCAGCACTAGGATGCACTATTTTATCCAATGAAGGTTGCAAACAATCAAACACAAGAGTTTTTGTGATATACAGATTTCTCACAAAGCTATTTTTTAGTTTTCATCAATAAAAATAAGAACATGTATTATTTATGCAAACACAGAACACTTTTCACCTTAAATCTGATTACTGAAACAAATATGACCATTCAAAAACTTTGTTAAATGTGATGATAGAAGGTAGGTAGTTATACAGAAGTAGATAGAATTAGTGTACAGGTGTTAGTCTCTTATTTAATAACAATTAAAATTAAATGTCTTCAGAATGTACAAACTATCGAAATATCATTCCATCCATAGCCCAGCTGAAGACAATGCAATTAAAAAACACGATGCCATGAATAATATTAAAATAATAACAAAAAGCTGAGATTCATAGGGAAACAACATTTCTGACAGTTTTCATTCTGCGTGTAGAAGGACTTAGCTATAAGTAATTTCAAGATAGAGGTAAAGATCAAAGAAAAAGGTAGAAAGAATCAGGAAAAAAGAGAGGGTGAGGGAAAAAGAACTAAATCTAGAAATAACTATCAATATCCAGGAAAAAAAGAGCACAACCAGGATCCTTCTCTAGCAAGACTAGAAATTACTACTCTAATATAAAGGAGAATATTGTAGCTAAGGGTTGAAATTTAATGTCAGGTTATCTGCACCTCACCCCAGAGTTTTGGCTTGATTTGTTTTTTAAGCAAAATAATGTTAACAAAATAAATGCTTATTCTCTGTTTTATGGAGATAATTCTTCAGTTAATAAGCTTGAGGGCTCTTGATATGAAGCAGCTTTATAGGAGATTCCACTTTAAGTTCCAGGAGTTCTTAATTGCGCAATACAAATGCAGTAGACAATATCTAAAACACATTTTCCATTTTCAAAGTAACAATCCTTATCTACATAAATTCCTGGTACAATCAGTTGTAATTTTTCTCTTCGGCTTTATAAAAGATTTCTTTCGAAGTGAAACATGCTGATCAACCAGATCCTATTTGATCTTTTCTAATAAAATTTCACACATGATTTAAATTGCAGTCAAGATTAATTACACTCATCACTTCATTTGTCCTTTCTTATGTTATTTACCATTTATTGCTACACAAATGTTTTCTTTGTATGAATTTAATGCTTATTAAAAGAACTGGAATGAAGAGCAAATAGATAAGTCGTAATACAAAAAACTCTAATCAAAATTAATACACCAAATACAGAAAATTATGCAAGGTGAATTGGTGTGCCTTAAATAGGCTAACTTACAGAATGCATCCAAAATCCAGACCCATTTGGCAAAGTTGTAGCTACTTCAGCATTGTCACATGGCTATACCATCGCCACAATTAGCCATGGTCATATGATTGTCATTTCCAGTGCTCCCTGCCAGCTTCCCACAAGGAAAGTCAATGGGGAAGCCAGCAGGACGTTGAAAGTTACTCCTGCTTCCACTTTTCGTTGCCCTCCTATAGTCATTCTGTTTCTCTATTTATTTAAGGAAATGTCTCTGAAATGATGACCCAGGTCATGGATTGTCTAGCATAATTTTAAAAGCTGAAATCAGAACTATCTTTAAAGTGCAGAAGTTTCTTATTTGTAAAGTAACATAACAATACATAAGTATTCCTGTATAAAATAAGAATATTAGTGCTTGTTTTTTGCTCAGATTTCCAATGCATGGAACCACTTGGCATGGAATCTGGTGAAATTCATTCTGACCAGATTACTGCCTCTTCCCAATATAACCCCCAGTGGTCATCTGAAAGGTCCCGTTTAAATTATCCTGAGAATGGATGGACGCCTGAAATTGATTCTACTAGAGAATGGATACAGGTAAGAAAAATCAAACCATGTTTATAAAACGTATACAAATTTGTTGGCAGATTTTCAAGGATAGCAAACAGACTAATTAAAATGATAAATAAATTTTCCAGAATGATATTTTTTTATTTTTACTTTTTAAAAACAATATAGGAAAAAGTATTTAGAAAATATAGATTCTGTTCCTGAATGTCTTCACTCTTTGCCATCCCTATTAGTTTATATCACAAATATGCTAACTCTCAAAGGTATAGAGGGAAAATAAAGAAAAGGTCAAGAAGATCCATTCTTTTCCTTCCTGCGTTTTTTTCAGTCTTCTAGGCACAAATATCAGATTTTGTTTTAATGGGAAAAGTCAATATTAGCTTAACAGGCACTTAAAGTGAAATGGTCTGATGAAACAGCCTGGCTAGCTTGCTGATGAATGATACTCAAGAGTTGCTTAATATATGGATACACAACTGAACATTTTACTTGTGACCTATGCTTTTCACAAAATTAGACCAAAGTTGAAATTGTATATACTAGAATATTAGACTTGTGTCCATGACTCAGAAGTGGAGCCAAAGAGCAAACTGCTTTTGTAAATTTAAAAATGAAGCATGAAATGGAAGACTAGACCCTGTTCACCAGAGGTGAAAAATAAAGTGAAGAAGTAGTTAATAAACTGGTGTAAAGTAACCTACATTCAGTTTGGCAAAAATGTTTGCGCTCTGAAAGAGATATGGTTAGCTTTGTCAAGGCAAAAAGACAAAGCATTTTTTCTTAATGAAACTATGCACTTTGCCTTGAGTTAGTGTGGGTCACTGCTGTGAGAGAAAGCTTCTTTCTGCTTTTTCTGCCAGACCTTTCAAAAACATTTTCCAAGCTGAGCAACTTTAGTAATATTATATGATTCATTGTGCATCATGGAAAAAATGGGGCATGCACCCAAACATTCTAAATTAAAGAGCTTCAACATGTACTACAGGATTGCCCCACAGTTCACAGAAAGTGTCCAGCCAAGAAGAGCTTTGGTAGTCTTGGCAAACTATCAGACTTTGCAGTCTGTGAAAAGTCCCAAAGTGCTTGTTAAAGCCATCTAGAAACGTTTTGGACGGAACCATGGAATTTTTCTCCTTGAGTGCCCACCATTGAAGATTTCTCTCAGTCTCCTGTAATGCAAGATCTGTAAAAGAAAGCTAAGGGGGTTCTGAAGCAAAGTAACACAAAGCTTTCATCTGGAAATGGCAACCCACAATGTATCATAAAGAAACTGACATTGTGGGGCCATATCACTTAGTGACTGCAATCCAATCAGTCCTGGTTGTTATTGTAATTCCAGACATGTGGTTCTTTAAGTGAGAAAGAATCCCAAGTAAAAACAGCTTTACATGGAGCTGCCCATGAAAAGCATCTGGAAGCTCCAGTTGATGCAAAATGCAGCAGCCTGCATGGTTATGTGCAGACCTTGGTGTGCACATGTGTTACCTTCCTGCGGGATCTGCATTGGTTGCCAATTTGCTTCTGGGTGCAATTCAAGGTGCTGGTTGTCACCTTTAAAGCCCTTCATGGCTTGGGACCAGGTTATCTAAGGGACCATCTCTTGCAGTCACATCCATCCGACCCACTAGAGTGGAAGAGGCAAAGAATGTTGCAGATCCCATCCCCAAAGGAGGTACATCTGGCGGGACCCAGAAAAAATAATAAAAAATAAAAATAATGAAATAACTCCCACCCCGGTGACATTTAACGGGCTCCATCCTGCTCCGAGTTCCCCAGGCCTGCTGGCAAAACCTTCAGGGTCTTCTCCATGGTGGCTCCGTCCTCCAGCACATCAACCCTCCGAAAGTAGACTGGCCCCCACTCTGACACTCTTTCAGAAGGCCCTGAAGACATGGTTCTACCAGCAGGGCTGGGAAACCCAGAGCAGGATTAAATGTTACCAGGATGGGAGTTATTTCATTGTTTTTATTTTTTATTATTTTTATTTCTTTTATATTGTGTTTTTACCTCTTGTAAGCCACCTTGAGCAGGCGGTAATATAAATTTTCCAAATAAATAAATACAGATGGAGATGCCACAGGTGTGTTGATGAGGCTCTGGAAGACCCAGACTAGAACATATATAAGTTGCAGGAGGGGAGTGCAGTGATGTGGTTCAAGCTCAAGTAGACCAGATAATGAGGACAAAAAGCACACGTGTGTTTGAGCATAGGCAAGAAAAAAGAGCATTGGGTGCATGTGAATAAAGAAAGCAGGGAAAATAAGGCGTGGGATAAGCATATTTATGTGTCTGAGCACTGGGAGGCCAGGAAAAAGGTTGTGAGGTGCATGTGAGTGAGGAGTGAAAGACTTACCCAAACAACCTGTAGCCCTTTCCTTCCAATTTTATGTGCAACTGAAAATGCAAACTTTCTTTTAATCATTTATGGCAATAAAAAACTATTTGCTTGAATAGCGGTAGAGCTGAATCAAAGTAATATTGCTAGAGCACTGAATGTTTTTAAGAGTTTGGTAGAATTCAGAGGCTTAATTAACAGAATATTTTTCTTTTGCACTGTTTAATTAGAACTTTCACTTTCCTCTTTAACTTTCACATTTGTTAGAATACTAATGTAGTGTTGAAAACTTCCAGTAGTTCAAACAAATGGGGCAATATTTGTGTTTTTATTGTTTTCCATAGGAAATACCTAAGTGACATATAGGAATAATGCATCATTAGTCATCAATAAGAACATTCATATCCAATGTTTCCTTTGAGATTAGCTGTCTGCAAGAAAGCTTACAAACTTTTTTGAGTAGTTATCAGCATCTGGAAGAAAGACAGAAGAAATCTTTCATTCTTAAACTTTTAGTCCACAATGGGACTCTCAGGTGTCCAGCTTTTGAGACCTCAGCACAGCCTGAGCAGTTAAAAAACAGTTAATGGCAAGAAGTAAACATATTCCCACTTTGGTGTGGCAAACCAAAATCAGTTAATTCTGACTCCTAATGAATAAGTAACAGGAAAATTCAACAAATTTTGTCTGTAAAGAAAAATAAAACAAATTACTTATTGCCAATTATCACCACAGATTTGCATTTGTATTATCATCCTTTCATTCAGAAGAAAAAAAATATTCAAAAAATACCACTGACTATTGATCACTTTGATTGTTATTATTGTTTTAAATCTTGGTGCGTTGTCCATTTTTCCTCATAAACTTATGAAGAGGCTTCAGATGGGGCAATGGGGAAGATTTTATTGAATTAGGGATGCTGGGTTTACTAATAGTTGCTCTCCCTCCAGATGGGGGATGGAAGGGGGGCATGGGTATTTCATAGCTTACCTGTTACTGTTCATTATTTCTTATCCTGGTTGGCCAGAGGTAATCAGAAGATGGTAGAAATGTTTGATTGTGGATGGACAATGGTTATGGGCCTGGGATTGGGATGCAGAATGCAAGGCACAAGCCTCCTTGATACCTGAACCCCATCTTTTAAATGGAAGGTTTCACTTGCGGGTGTTTAAGAAGAAATGTATGTTGGGGGGGCTTAAAGGCAAGCAATAACATATCAGTAGTGATAATTAAGGGACGAGTGGCCTGGTGGCCTGGTGGTGAAGACGCTCACCTCCCAGTTGGAAAGTTGAGAATTCAGTCCTAGGTAGCAGCAGATATTTCTCTTTCAGGACATGAAGAAAAAAAATATCTGCTGCAAACACCACATAGGCCTCAGGAAGGGCATCTGGCTAGTTAACACTCAGCTGTGTTTAATCACTGTGATTCTACCTCAAATTAAGGGACTACAGTATTGTAAAAAGAAAAAAAAGTGATGTTTAAAGAAGCTACGCCAAGAATTGGAAGTGGGAGGGGCTGTTTGTGTGGCCTCATTGTTTAGTAAAGTTTTGTGCTAAGTGTGCTAAGTCAGTGTATTCAACCCTTTTGCGTGGTCAGTGGACTTAGATAGCCTTGGCCTTTAGATGCTGCTGCTACTTAGTACCAAATCAGTCATTCATGATTTAATGGGTTTCAAACACATAAATAAGCACAAGATAGCCAATAAATGCATAGATAAATACCACCGTGAGTAACTGAGAGTGGTAAAATATCGGAAAAATGGAAGCAAAACCCAACATATTTTAAAAAATAAAACAAAAGGTTTAAATAACATCAAAGAATCATGGAATTATGGTTCTTAGATTGAAATATTAGGAGGAATAATCAAGAACCATTCTCATTAGAGATAAAATTCAAAATGTTTATTGTAAGTTTACCGAAACTGAGTCTGTACATCTACGTGTGTTCTATCTATGTTTCAGGGCCTTTTCAAATTGGAGTAGTATATTCTTTTTTTCAAGTTACCTTTACATTTAATTAAAAGCAAGGAGCTGTAGCTGAAGTACAAATCTAACTACCCTTTATTAACATATAGTTTCATGAGGAAAACAGTGTAGTTAATCCAAATAACAAACATGTTAATATACCAATGACCAACAACACTAGTTCTTAAAAGATGTAAGAAGGCCAACATAAGGTTTCCACATCTGTTTTTAGTGAAATCTATTCCTGTCTGTGGTATTTAAAATCTAAGGAACTCCTGTTATTGTACAATTAGAATCCCGAAGGAGTAAAATGTTAATCAAATCCATAACATGCAAGGATCTTATTATTATATTTTTAATATATTCCTTTTAAAATGCTGGCATTTTTTTCTCTGGCAGCAGTAATTAATTTTTAAAACACATTTAGTCTGTACATTTAGAATCAGTAGTTATATTTCAGAAACCTTGTATTAAATAACCTCAATAATTTAGAAGTCTTCAAGCAAAACCTGTATGTTTGTAAACATATTTAGCACCTTCTATTTCTTAAATTTTAAATTGCCTTGTTACTGCTTTTTTAGCAATTCCTAGCCATGACCTTTGCTTATCCACATTTCCTTAAAAAGGAATATAATCTGGGAGAAAATTATAAAAAAAAATGAAAATTAACAGCTTGTGTAAGTGTGCATATGTACATGTAGAGGAATTTCAAGGTACACAGATAGTAA